AGGTTTGATGGCTAAACTGTTTGTATTTAACAGCCTACCATTAAGGGATACACACATTGCATCTCCTCTGGGCCTGCTGATCGTTCCATTGTGAGTGAGCCAGCTCATCACACACGGACACAGATACACCTCTCACCCACCCAGCTCACTCACAGCACAAGTCTTCCTCAGCCCCCCGCCTAGCTCCTGTCTCTCTCTTCAATTAGAATAATTACACCCCGTTCGCTCACACACTAATCAGTTCATTAAAAACAAAATGGATGAAATTAGCATAGGGAGTGACGGCTGATTTAGCAACTTCCTCTGTGTCATGATCAACTCCAAGCCAACCCCAGTCTGGAACCCAAGCCAACCTTGATTTGTCGTAATGTCACCAGTAACGAAGCTAAAATAATCAGTGACATACATTTTTCATGTCCTTATGTTCTTAAATCATAGTGATGTCGACAGATTTATGAAATTGTGAAATTGATCTGATGAGATCAGCTGTGATAGAGAGTATATATTTAATTGTAAAAACAACAACAATTGTTTTGTATTTGTTGAAAAGTTCCAATGAAAACTACGTTTTCATTAGAACTGGCTACAAAAGAGTTTATAGTAGCAAAGAGACGTTTTTATTTATTATACTGTATGAGGCTAAATAATTAGACTAAATTTTGGCAATGGCAGAAGCTCAGTAAGGCGATCTGTTTAAATCACACCAACAGCCACACACATTTGAACAGAATGGTGCAGCTGAGGTCCGGAGGTTTCTGATGCTGCTAAATGCTTTTACTGCTTACTGGCTGCGGATGTTCTGCTAAATGAAAGTTACTATCCAAGAGCTAGCCTTCAACAACTATATTCTATAGTCTAAGCTGTTTCTTCTGGTGGCTTTTTGGCACAATAACAGCATGATAAAGTGCATCGTCTAACCTTACAGTAATGTCAGGAATCTAACCAGACATTTCATCATCTTCTATTGTTTATCATGCTGAATTACAAGGTTTTGACCTGGCTCTGTCCACTTCACTCAAATTGTTATTTTTGCACAGTCGTGTAAGTATTTATGAGTATATATTTTGCACACATTTATGTTTGAATAATTTATTGGATCTGAAAAAAGAGCAAGGTCTCACCACGGTTGAGTGTCGGGGTGCTGTTGATGTCTCCTGCTATGAAGGATGATTCTGTCTGCTTTCGAACCGTGTCGTTCCACATCCTACGGATCCGACTCTGGAGAAAGCCGCAGAGTGCATTGAGTGGCAGCAAACACACAAAAAGTTATATATAGAAACACAGTGGGTAGACGTTGTAACTCAGTGGGGCAGCTGTAATCAAAACTGTGGGGCACACTCTAATCCATGAAGAACAATAGATAAACATGGGAGGGTAAGAGGCTGGCGCATCGGGTAAAGAGGCACACGACTTTGCAATCTTGAGCCGGGTTAATAAGCTTGAGATGTGTTTGACATGATTGTAGTTGTCGATAAAATTGTTTCACATTATTACAATGTGGAAAAGCTTGTTTGTTGATTATGAGGACTAATTAGCTACGTTCATGCTTGTATGTTTGCGTGTGTATGTGTGTGTGTGTGTGCGTGTGTGTGAATACCACTGTAAGTTTGCCATCATGTACAGCCTTTGGGTATTTTTGTGTAGAAAAAATATGTTTTTAAAAAACTATGAGTTAAAAAATATGATTAGATATCAATTTCAGTATCATTAGATCAACAACAGATCCCTACGTAAATCATGATGTAACACATTTGCATCATTGAGAACAAATGTATTCTGATTGATCTTTTTGTTGCACTGTGGGCAGATAAGCAAGTAAAATAAGTCAATTCAAGTGCTCTGAAGAGTAATCGGTGAGTCATCTGTATTGATTCGTGATCAAAACCCCTACACATAAGTCAGCTTAGACTTCAGTATCTTACATAACAGACTTTTAAAACAGGGAAAATAATATATAATGACCAATGAAATTCCCATCAGTTTTAAAGTAACTTAATTTTGTTTTGGATAAATTTACAACAATATTCTATAGAATAATACTCTAACAATAGAGCCATTTGATTAAAAATTAGATTTTTCATGTCATTCCAGTGAAAGTAGCTGATGGGCAGCAGCTAAATGTGGCTGCCAGACAGACCGATTTACTTCTTATATCTTGGAAGAAAAACATCATTTGAAACTCAGAGGTATGTCTGTGTGACACATGCAGTTTTTTAGTGTGTGGGTCCGTCCTGCCCGCACCTGTCTGTGGGCTGCTGCATGGCGAGCTTGGCTGCCGCTGTAGTAGCGATTATTGGCACGCAAGCCTGAGTTCTTCAAGGAACCGTGGGAGCTGTTGGTGGAAGTGCGGCTGCAGCAGTAGGAATGGCGCAGACATTTACTGTACTCCTTATGGACCTATAAAAAAATAAAACCAACCGAGGAGAGAGCAGGTTTTAAGATTTGCTCATAAACACAAACCCTCTGTTTCAATAGGGTGAACCTAATGTGGAGCAACACAGCCTTTTCTGCAACAGTTACAATAAATGTACCCATTGCAATCTATCAAATAAATGTAAACTGAATACCAATTATACTTGTACTGTCATCTATTCCTACATATATTCATGGAATCAACATTTCTTCTGATAATTTATAATTCACTCTTAACAACCAGTGTCACTTCAAGGAATAGCTTTGTATTGTTACCTTTTTTTGCAGGGCACAGTGAAAGATGAAGATGAACATGCCCTGGAAGGCATTAAAGGTGGTGAATAGATAGGCCATGATAACGGTATTCTCGTTGATAAAGAGAAGGCCAAAAGCCCACGTCAGCCCAAGCAGGAACAGCAGGGCAATGGCCCCCAGAGCCCACGACCTGATACCAATGAACAAGGGACATGTTATAACTCTGTGTATCTTAAATTAATCCAAAAGTGACAGTTGGTTTAAATTATTTCAACTCACTTAATGTTGTCCAGGCGACTAGAGTCCGGCTTGAGAGCTGAAGAGTTGCGGATCATTTTGTGTAGAGTGACCATGAGGAAGATTAGGTTGAGCTAAGGACAAAGGACAGAAGGAACTTAACAGTTGTCCACAGATTGTTACAGTCTTGTGTAACAATACTGACCAAAAAACCTCAAAAGTAGACGGATAAAACACTTTTGGTTTGATGGAGTCATTTCAGACTTAAGAGGAGAATAATGCTCTTTTATAGAAAAGCTAATACCATAATAACAAATGAGACTGGTCCAATGAAGCTCCAGATGAAATAGTTATCCACTCGCAGCCAGCATCTGGAGGGGCACAGTGGAGAGTGTTACACGCAAGCCCTTGAAATTGCACACACACACACGCATACATACATACATACACACTGTGAGCCACAT